ATCTCGGCTCACTGCAAGCTCTGCCTCCCAGGTTCTCGCTGTTCTCCTGCCTCAGCCTCCCGAGTAGCTGGGACTACAGGCGCCCGCCACCATGCCCGGCTAATTTTTTTTTTTTTTGTATTTTTAGTAGAGACCGGTTTTCTACTACATCCTGTTAGCCAGGATGATCTCGATCTCCTGACCTCGTGATCCGCCCGCCTCGGCCTCCCAAAGTGCTGGGATTACAGGCGTGAGCCACCGCACCTGGCACAAATTATTTTCTTTCAATTTTTTTCTTTTTCTTTTTTGAGACGGAGTTTCATTCTTTACCTATGCTGGAGAGTGAAGTGGCGCCATCTCAGCTCACTACAACCTCTGCCCCCTGGGTTCAAGCACTTGTCCTGCCTCAGCCTCCTGAGTAGCTGGGATTCCAGGTGCGTGCCACCCCCCCATGCCTGGCTAATTTTTGTATTTTTAGTAGAGAAAGATTTCACCATGTTGGCCAGGCCGGTCCCAAACTCTTGACTGCAGGTGATCCACCCATCTTGGCCTCCCGAAGTGCTAGGATTACAAGTGTGAGCCACAGTGCCTGGCTTTTCTTTTTCTTTTTTTTTGACAAGGTCTCACTCTGTCACTCAGGCTAGAGTGGAGTGTTGAGATCATGGCACACTGCAGCCTCGACCTCCCAGACTCCAGTGATCCTCCTGCCTCAGCCTCCTGAGTAACTGGGATTACAGGTGCACACTACCATGGCTGGCTAATTTTTTAATTTTTTTGGAGAGACATAGTCTCCCTATATTGCCCAGCCTCGTCTCGAACTCCTGAGCTTAAGCGATCCTCCTGCCTCAGCCTCCCATTGTACTGGAATTACAAGCTGTGCACAGCCACAGTGTGCAAATACTACCATAAATTACCATTTTTAAAAAAACAGAAGCAGATACTTTAGACAAATTATTGTTTATTTAATGCCAGTGTTGTCGTCGATACTATAGTTTATGATTATTTAAAAGTTAAAAGTATTTTACCAAATGAGCTACACTTGATTGTCCATTTAATCTGTCAGTTTTATCTGTATAGGTATTCATAGGCCAGGCGTGGTGGCTCATGCCTATAATCCCAGCACTTCGGGAGGCTGAGATGGGTGGATCACTTAGGCCAGGAGTTTGAGACCAGCCTGGTCAACATGGTGAAATCTTGTTTGGACTAAAACAAAAATTAGCTGGGTGTCATAGTGCATGCTTATAATCCCAGCTACTCAGGTCGCTGAGATAGGAGAATTGCTCGAACCCAGAAGACGGAGGTTGCAGTGAGCCAAGACTGCACCATAGCACTCCAGCCTGGGTGACAGAGTGAGACTCTGTCTCAAAAAAAAAAAAAAAAGAAAATGTGTAGGTATTCGTAGATGTGTTACTGGTTGTGTAATAGAGTAAGATTGGGGGAAGAGACCTAGGCAAGTTATTTCCTTTTTAAGGTCTTGGATACAAATGCATAACCAAACCCTAGGCATTTGTTTTATTTATTTTTATTATTTATTTGTTTATTTTTGAGACGGAGTCTCGCTCTGTCGCCCAGGCTGGAGTGCAGTGGCACAATCTTGGCTCACTGCAAACTCTGCCTCCTGAGTTCAAGCAATTCTCCTGTCTCGCCTCCTGAGTAGCTGGGACTACAGGCGCATGCCACTACATCTGGTTAATTTTTGTACTTTGAGTAGAGACGGGGTTTCACCATATTGGTCAGGCTGGTTTCGAACTCCTGACCTCAAGTGATCCACCTGCCTCCGCTTCCCAAAGTGCTGGGATTACAGCACTGAGCCACCGTGCCTGGCCAC